CTGAACGACAACAAAAGGCAAAAATGGCTTGGCACGGAACGTGTTAAATAATGAAAAATTTATCCAACCTTTTTTTACTCACTCGACCTCTCTTTCCCATCGAAGCGTAATTGCAAATACCGAGGGAGAGGTCTTCTCGACAGTGCATCAGCCGAAGGAATTGCGAGCGTAGATATTTGCCAGGGCGCAAAAGTCGAGCAGAAGGCGGGCAGAAAGCGCGGCAGCGTGGCACACGAGACAAAGGACACACAAACGAACGAACGAACGATCCTCTAAATCGGCACGTCCGTCGAGGCTCATGAATCTCGGCGAAAACCCGTGTGTCCACGGTTCGGTACGCAGCACGGGCACGGACACGGACACGGGGAGTGAAGCTCGTGTGGTGAGCCAACAGAGGACAGAAGGAAAGAAAGAGAGAGAGAGAGAGAGAGAGAGAGAGAGAGAGAGGGAGAGACGAGAGGAACGAGGCCTCCGTCAACGACACACTTGTTGTTCCTCCGGAGTAAATTATTCCCCCCCGTTTCTGGTCTCTCGCGGAGAGGTAGAGAAAGCTTTCGAGTCGCGGACGCCTGACGGCTGACGTAGTGGCGCATTTTATTCAAATAATCGCGACGACCGAACACACCCTTGCATTGCTCGACGCAACCGGCGCACCGGCCTCGAACGCGCCGAGCCGAACAGCGAAACGCATACCGCCGCTCGGCACATACTTGCTCTTCCTAACTTTTGCCCGTCAATTCTACGATTTCGGCAACTCGACCAATGATTCTAACGATCGGTACGAGCCGGCTGACCGATCTCTCGAGAATTTATTTCGATGAATTTGCTGCTTCGTTCGTTAAGATCGGATAAATAAATAAAGTGAAATATTGCACGTTCTGCCAATTCTCCTCCTATTTCTTCTTTATTAACTCCACGATTTTGACAATTTGATAGTAATTTTAATTCGCACGAGTCGTGTGACGGATCTTTTGAGAATTTACGGTGATGGATTTGTTGCTTGATTTGTAAATGTAATATCGTGGAAAAATAAATAATTTGACAATAATTCCTATTGTAGTTTCGGTTGAGTTTACATAGATATTTTCAAAATTTTCGAATGAACTTCTTTCTCATCTACTAATCTGCGTAAAATAAAATAAATAAACTAAGATGTCCTTTCGTCGCGCATTCTTTTTACTTTTCTCATTTCTCGTCTGTGGTATTCACGGTGCTCGTCGAATTTTACCAAAATTAGAACACCAGCCTATTTTGCAGTACGCGATTGATTGAAAAAAATAAATGAAACTGTCAAATGTACTATTCGTAATCGTAAAAAGTACGTCTAATCAGATGAGCTGTCGTTTCAATGGAAAACATGAGAATATCTTTCTGTTGGTAAATCGTGTTGCAATGAAACATTAAAATAAAAAAAA